TGGAGCAAAGCTCAGGGAACCCAGGTTCCATTTAGATGCCAGGAAGCACTTCCTGACAGTCAGGACCCCGAGGGTGTGGAATGGGCTTCCACGAGAGGTCATTGAGGCCCCACCGGTGAAGGTGTTCAAGGATAGGCTGGACGTGCACATGGTGGGCATGTCATGAGTGGAGCTGGCTGGAGCCGGGGGTCAGACTAGATCACCCAGAAGGCCCCTTCTGGCTCACTCTGTTTCTATGCTTCTATGCTCAAATGGGTCAAACTGAGCTTCGCTAGGTTATGACAGTGGAGAGGCAGCAGCTGCCTCTACCCCCACTTCAGAACTAAGTCCTGGAAGAACTAAACCCACTGGAATTTTATTTGCATTTTGCCGCCCGTCTCATGTGCACTGTGTGACTTAAGAACTCCAGCGTACAGCGACGGCCACATGCTCTTAATCAAAAACTCATGTCCTCCACTGGGATTTCTGCAACTGATTAAGCTACTCATCCAGAGTCTCGTGTCCCCAGACGCCGTGTGTTAATAACATGCTACAGCTCCTTCAAGGGGAAACACAGGCTCACGTTTCATTGCTGGCTGAGATGAGGCCATTTCGGCTCTGTTAAGGAGATCTGGGAGAAACGGGACCAGAATGAGGCCAAAGCGGTCCATCTGGGTCCTGCTGGAACTGGCCGGAACATCAGATGAAGGTTTTTGCTTTTTTCACGGTGTCTCCACTAGTGCCACGCACAGCGCTTGTTCACCACCCCAGGCTAATCGTGGTGCATCCACAGACATTATCACATCAAGCGGTGTTTTGGTGAGGGACATGTCAGCCTTCGTAATGCAAAATACGCGAATTCAGCAGTAAAAGAGGGGCAGCGAACCTTTGCGCTCTAAACGGAGACCAACTTCAGAACTTTCCAAAGGAAACCAGAAATCAGGAGGAGATGAAAGTGGGGCAGGCAAAGCTGGGGAAGAATGAAGGGGCAGGAGGGGGAAATGCAGCCGGCCTGCTTCTGCGCTGCTTCCCGCACAAGGAACGCCCAGTGGGAGTCCACCTCCAGAACTGGATGGTGGGTTGTGGGGATCGGAAGGTGGCACTGGGCACCCACCTGGCAGACGTTGTAGTGCTCGAAGAGGGACAGCAGGCCAATCTCGCTGCGGCTGGCGATGCCTTTTAAGACGGTGACGTTCCCATTCCCGGCATCCAGCTCCATCGTGTCGTTGAAGACGTTGGGCACGGCCTTGCCCGTCAGCAGCAGGTTGACCAGCTCCTGGGTCAAAGGGGAGAGAGGGGCATGAGGGTGGGCAGAGGGGCGCCAGAATCTCTGAAGGGCTTTGGTGGGGCAGGCCTGTCCTTCTCCAGGGCCTTCGCCTGGGAAGGGGCTGCAGCTTTGGATCCACGGCAGCAGCTCAGGCTCATTTCAACTGCCGGCCACTCTCCCCGAGGGTCCACCAACACCCCCCTCATCTCCCGCACAGGCCCCTGGACCTTACTGCATCCCAGCCTTGTCTCCCCATTCGTTTCTCCTCTTCTTTCCTGAGTACGAGCTTGATCCTCTGCATCTACCACTCTCGGCCTCCCATTATCCTCGCCCACTGCAGGTTTGGCCCACCGTTTTTCCCCTTGCGAGGAACCGAGGCAGCTGGCACAGGCATCCCCCACTCTTTTTTATCTACACAGCACCCACCCTCTGAGGCGGGGGAGGCGGGGACCTGAACCGGCTCTCCCAGGTCCCCGGTCCAGCACTCTAGCCTCCAGGCCACACTGGCTCCGACACTCTGGAAGGACCTGGCGCCTTCTCCTTGGTTCCATCTGCCGCCTGGGAAGGCTCCCCAGAACCTGTTTACGGGGGTGCTACCAGGCAGGTTGCTTTCCGGATCCCTTAGGGAACCCCACACCTTTATTGTTGGCTGATCTCTTGCCCCTCATCTTCAGTCGGGACAAAACTCAGGCACACAGAATTGGCGAGCAGCCGTCTTGCCTTGGTCTCTTGTTCCTTCCTTCACGCTTTTACCGATCCATCCGCAAGACCCACACACTGCTCTTGTTATGGTTGGCCAGGGGCGGCCCAGCCTGCCGGAATGCATTAGCTCCATCTCACTGAGGACCAGGAGGAGGGAGAAGGGAGAAGGGAGCTGCGTGCTACGGTCGGTTCCTGCTCCCCGCTGGAAGCAGAGCTGCGGCTAGCGGCCAGCTGCTCCCCCGGAAGGCAAATGCCCGGCTGGGGTCGCCCCATGGCGACGCCCCCACTTAAGCAAGCCCAATGACTGGTCAATTGCCCAGAGGCCCAGACAAGGAGCCATCGGCAAGAAAGCATCTCAGAGTCGGGAACGGGAGGCGTCCGGATAGCGAGCAGGTGCAAACAAGAGGCTCTTCTGGAAAATCCGCCCAGGTGTGGAGGGAGAGCCGAGGAGAAACGCTCCGGGGGGAGGGAAGTGGGGAAGCTTTTCTGCGGTGCAGACGGGAGGGAGTACCTGGCCGCGCCAGGGAGGCTGCAGGCCTTCAGAGAACCCGGGAGGCCGTTCAGTGCGGGGCTGCGCACAGCCAGACTCGGCGTTTCTGCCTTAGTTCCTGCTGCACTCCCATTCTAGGCCATCTGTTGGTCTGTGCTTTGAGACTGAGCAAATGTTTTTCTGCACTTTTTGCCTGAACTGGATCGTTGGGCACCTCCTGAGGAGGCCAAGCTCCCTGGGGGAGACCACCGCGCTAGGGAAAGTCAAAGGCAGACGAGGGGTGGACTCCACCAAGGAAGCCACAGGCTGGGACTGACGACATCTGAGCAGAGACGTCACGGCAGCACTTTTCGGAGGGCTTCCATTCATAGCCCGGAGACATGTTGTGGTAGAACGGTATGTTCACAGCACCCGCCTGTGCAGCAACTGGGGCTCCTTCTACGTCACTGGCGCACCGATAGCTGGAGCAGCTCCACCTACTCCCTGCAGTGCCCCTGTCCACCGGGACTCACATCAGCAAACCTCGGGGAGGAGCCAGGGATCGCCCCCCAGAAGTCCTGGCCCACCTCTCTGAGGAGCCCTCAGCATTAACTCTACCGGCTTGAAGAGCAGAGCGAGCGACAGAAGGGCAACCCACGGCCCATCCTCTCAGGGGCAGAGTTGTCACGCCACAAGCGAAGACTGGTTTCGCTCTCCCCTGCGTGTGAGCAGCCCCTGGTCTCCCCATGGGAGTCCCTGCTGCAGGGCAAAGATCGCTTTCACCCTGGCAGAGACGATGCTGCCACCCACCTTGATCCGATCATCTGACGGAAGGGGAATCCCTCTGGGAAATTCAGCAAACTAGCCCATTGTCTAGTACAGGCATTTTGACCCCGAAACAGAGCGCGCTCCCTTATTTACCTGCGTGCAGTACCCATGTGCCCCGATCAGTTGGTTTGTGCTCACATCAAAATCTCCACGGACTCTGGTGGGGAAAAGGGAGTGAGAGGTAAGCGCTGGGGCTGACCAGGCCCAGCGCCATCATTCACACGTGATGTGGCTGCCACGCCCTTGAAGGAAAGGAGGGCGTTTTGGTGTAAAAGTCTTTGGATACTTTCTTCGGAAAATGTGCTATGCCATAAAATACAGGGGGCAGCATCCCATGAAGCAAAGGAGAGTGGGGCGGTTTCTCTCCAGTGGCAGCCCCCACCCACTTATAAACAATTCCTGATGTGTTGAGAGATGGGATTTCTCCTGCCTAAGAAAGAGAAGTACAAATTAATGGAATCGGGGCACAAACGTACCTGCATTCAGATGAAACACAACCTGTAATTCCAGCCATGAGGGGAGCAATGATAGCTGGGAAATTCTGGGAGTCGCAGGACTCGTTTCTTCAAAAAGGGACAGCAAATCAGCAAACCCTTTTGCCGGCGTGGGTCAAAGCGTGCGCTCTGTGCCACGCTGGAAGGTCTGATAGCCAAAAGGTGGCAACGCAGGTGCCAGGGCAACCTCAGGTGGCTTCATTTGACTTACAGGGGGCCACAACAGAAAAGGACGTGCTTTCCAGTCACTGCCAACCTAACTTGTCCAGAGGATGGATGACTGAGGTTGGGCATAACATCTAGGTAGGTGCCTATGGGGGAGCAGGTGGTCCTTGAGATTGCTCAGGTCCAAACCGTGCAGGCTTTAAAAGTCACCACTGGCACTTCAAATGGTGGCTAAAATGGCTGACAGAACCGTCCCTGCAGCCGGTCTCAGTTAGTGGTACTTTGGACTAAGAGATGCTTCCAAGACGTCTTGAAAGCCTGCCGAACATGCAGCATGTTAAACTCCCCAGTCCAGCTCTTTGGACCTTGGCCAAGTTCTGTGACATACTATAAAACAGATATTAGATTTCGCTAGGATTATCCAAAATCCTATAAGTGTGTGTTGCATAATCGGTGTGCATTTTGAATTGCTCCTCACTTTAAAGCCGCTTATTATTTTTTCCCTCTGCTTGAAAATCAAAACAAACCCAATGATTTTATACATTTGCAATGATTAAGTCAAGACTTCAGGGGAATCAGAGTGGTTTAAGTAGGATTTTGATATGAAAATCCTCCCCTAAAGTCAAATATTGGAATCCATATTTTTTCTGTGCTTTTTTTTAACTGATTCCAAGAATAAGATCAGAGAACAATCTCCATGCTTCCTTCCAGTGCCAAACTACAGTACGCATTAAGATGTGAGAGCTAAAAATAATACTCAGTCTTAGCAAATGTCATGAAAACAGAATCCAAACGGTTGATTTCAATAAAAAGGCGTTGACACCAAAATAATAATATCATATTATACGAATGACTATTTAAAAATCTTTCTTTTAACGCGCTGAATTGATAAAAAATAACGAATAGTCAAAGAGATTTGATTTTATGGACAGAACCATCTCTGGCCGCTGTCCATATTTTAGTCTAAGAAACACTGGGGCCATGGAAATCTCATACCTTTGCTTGAAACAACGGAGCAATGAGACATACGTCAATTAGGGGCTATGGGACACGAAGTGTGGACAATAGGAGGAAGTTCTGATTCCACTGTGGGTGCAAATGGGATGGGAATCTGGAGTCGTACCTCAGGCGTCTGAGGAGAAGCAACATCTGCAGTTTGCATCTTTTGTGGTAATGAGGAAGCAACTATGAAGGAAGAAGCTTTAAGATTTACGGCTCACTTGAACTGAATCCTGCCTTCCAGGGTGGATGTGGCACATACACCCAACCTGGGAAAACAGGCATTCCGTCTCACCAGCCGTGTCGGAGCGTGCCTTTGCGTAATACTGGGGCTATGCTATATGACCCTGGTGTACCCACAGCTGGAGTATTGTGTGCAGGTCTGGGCCCCTCGTTACAAGAGGGATATCGCAAGTTGGAATCGGTGCAGCGAAGGGCCACGAGGATGGTGGCTGGTTTGTTGGGTGAGCCAGATGAGGTGAGACTGAGGGAGCTGGGTCTTTTCAGTCTGGAGAGGAGGAGACTCAGAGGGGACCTGTTAGCGACATGCAGGTACGTGAGGGGATGCCACGCAGAGGTGGGTCATGATCTTTTTCCCCTGCGGTGAGAGGAAGGCAGGATGCGCTCCAAAGGAGCAAAGCTCAGGGAACCGAGGTTCCATTTGGATGCCAGGAAGTACTTCCTGACGGTTAGGACCCCTAGAGTATAGAATGGGCTTCCATGGAAGGTGGTTGAGGCCCCATCACTGAGGGTGTTCAAGGAAAGGCTGGACGTGCACATGGTGGGTATGTCATGAGTGGAGCTGGCTGGAGCCAGGGGTCAGACTAGATGGCCCAGGAGACCCCTTCTGACTCGCTCTGTTTCTCTGTTTCTATTGATCAGTTAACTTAGTGCTGCGCACTGCTGGATGCTCTTCTGGAGCTCAGCCTAGGTGCACCCCTCCAGCCATTCTAACTTGGATGTGGCACCCCACGTTTTCCCAACTTGGGCTTTACAGATGTTGCCAGACTCAAGTTTCCACCACGGACAGCATCCATCATGCAAAGATTCTAATGCAAAGATTTTGCCGTTGGCCAAAGCGGACACTTAAGGTGGCTACCCATAACCTCTATACTAAAAACTAAATCTTAATTAGAACGGGGCAGAAAAACAAATATGCTATAAATAAATAAAAAACAACAAGCAATTGAAAACAAACAACCAAAAAACAGGCCAGTCCAAAGCTAAATCAGTTCATTGCAGTCCATGGCCAAGCTGAAAAACACCTAGAGAGAAAAAAAAATGTATACAAGGATGTATAGAATTGTGCATCCTCCATGCCGGACAAATTAAAACCAGGTTGACCAAGCTCCCAGCTTAAGAACTGCAGAAAAAATAAATAGATAAAAATACTTAGCACATTTTCCAGTAACAAGAACGGTGTCAGGTCAGCTCAACAGGAAGATACATAAAACAAATGGTCTTTGCCAGGAAACTTAAACAATAAAGGTGCAATCAGTTCTTTCCTAATACCTCAATAGAAATTGCAATATAATAAAACAGAGTTCCAGTCTTTAAATCCCCAGGAAGAACAAGCTTGAAATGAAAGATTCCTATTGAGCCTCCTCTCCGGCAGAACAGCTGGGCAGCGTTCATCCAGGCCGCCGTGAAGGCTGTCTCCTTTGCTCCCAATTGCCCAAAAGAACAAGATTGAGCTGCCAAAGAGATCTAATTGTTCTGTTCAAGATTGCACACTCTTAATAAAGGGACTTCTCTGGGCTTTTCTTTGGGCAGAGGAAAAACTCTCAAAGGGAGAAACGCCCTCAGCCGTGAGGTTCCAGCGGACAGTCTTTAGACAGCCCTTTCTAGAAAGGGCTTTGCAGCTTCATATGGCAGTAGCAAGCAACCTGTTGGCCAAAGCAGAATTTAACCCGTCCGGAGAGAGCAGGCACTCAAGTTGCACCTGCTATGGAGTTTAATCCCTTTGCAGGCACACGGTGATGTGTGACCTGCATACCTGGGCGCCCCAAGGATCATTCTGCCCAGATAAAAAAATCCCTTTGCCTGCCAGCAGAAGGACAAACGGAAAATAGGAAACTCAGCCTCGCCCAGCAAGTAGCGTCATGACGTTCCCAGAAAATTAGTAGCTTGTTGCTGGGGGAAATGTTGACATCCAGACACCAAAACAGGGCTGGCCCCTCTGTCTGTTTTAATGGTAGACTTGCTTGTTCGTTGGCCACTGAAAAACTAAATCCATCACATCTGTGTGTTTAAAGGAAGGCCGGGCTCCTCCCATCCATGTGGCTGAGCTGTAATACTCCGTGGGCGACCTCACAGCCCTTCTTCATGGCATGAGCCCATCCATGTTAAGAGAACAAGCAATGGCAGGCTGGATCCAGAAATCGCACACTCCGTTTCGACACACGTGCGTGTTGCCATTAACGGATTCGGTTGGCTGACGTGAGATGTGAACATCGAGTTGATCGTTGCACGGCTGAAGCTTGTTTTGGATGGAACTTCCCTTCAGCCTGCATCTTCGAGGTGGGCAAGATGTGGGCTGCAAGCTGCATGTGGCACCCACTGCACCCCCAAATCATACCCCCCCAAATAATTAAAACAAAATGGTACCCACAGCAGCCATTTTGAAGGCTTCTTTTGACTCTTTCAGTGCTTCTTAACCACGCCACATACCATTTCTTCTTTATTTGTTTCTGTGGGTGCAGAAAAGGTACTTGATCTGATTCCGGACCTGAGAGGCTGGAGGATTTTGCTTGGTTTGCAGTTTTCAGTGAACCTGCCCAGACTGTATTTCCTGTACTAGTGCAGATTGGAAAACATTTATCTGCACTTCTCAGAATGTTGCAGTGCTCAAAAATTGCACACCAAAATGCGGGAAATTGGGGAAATTGGGGAAAGAGATGTAGAAAAATGCAAAGATGAGAGAAAGTTGCCTGTGAACATTAATGTGGATTTTCAAGTGATCTTAAATAATTGCAGAATGATGCAGCAATTGGACAGGACTGATGGTACATCCCTACCTGTAGCAAATGTTTGACTGTTTTAAACCCTGCAAACAGAAATGCAGCACCTCAAGGAGAAGCAGGTTAATCCAACCCTTTTCCTCTGTGCTGGTTTTCTCCTTGCAGGGATCTTGTTGTTGTTGTTGCTGCAAACCCTTGATCCCCATCCTGAAGTCTGCTCTGGAATGGTTCACTGAACCACCAGTATGCTGCATATCTGGACTTAGGCAAGGCAACACCAAAGAGCCCCAAATGATGTCAGCGTAGGCCAACCCGAGGTGGGTTCATGTAGCCTGAAGTGCTTGATCCTCTCTGACCTCTGAAGCTAAGTACGGTCAGGCTGGTTAGTGTTTGGATGGGTGACTTGAGCCCTGCATTGGGAAGGGAGTTGGACTCAATGGCTTCCTAGGGTCCTTCCAACTATATGATTCAAGGACCTTCACACAAAATACCCAGAACCACAGAATGCTAACAAAAAGAAGCTGTTGACAATCCACAAA